ATCGTATTTGATTGGTTCGTGATTCGATTGCAGAAAAACTTGAGCGTTTACATCACAGAGCGCTTTCGGTGGTGTCTGGAACAGTCTAGACACCACTGGAACTGAGAGGGTAGGGGAGAAATTTCCTTGAAGATGCCCCCTGTGGTGTGCAGAGTGTGGAATAAAACGGAAGGGCTCCTTATCAAATGGCACAAGAAATGCGGCAATGTTTCTAACGGGGTGGGTTTCGGGAATGGAATACGGATGATTCCGCGCTAAGATGGGCGAGACTCATGTCAGTGTGACTTCTAGATTTTCTTTTTGGCTCGACATCGCTTTTATCATCGCTCGTGGATCAGGTCCACTCCTGTTTTCGTCCGTCCTTCTTCTACTGTATGTATCATTTGCGAACCCTTCACAACTTTCTGGAAAAAAATTTTCTCGAACATTCTTTTAATTATCCTAACCTCCCTCTTAATCTCTTACGTAGAAGAGACCATGCGGGGGTTTTCAGTACTCACGGCCATGTTTACCGCAGTTGTTTGTAATAAAAAACCGTAAACCCCTGTGCGATGAGCAGCTTCCTATGGAGGGTCTTGAAGAAGTGACGAATTACGGAGATGATTCAGAGACCATGTCCCAATCTATAAGTGGTAAAGGTGTCACTGTATTAGAAAGTCTTACGGTGCTGATGCAAGATACAGTTGCCACGCCACTACCGTGAGGATGAACTGTATCGTAATTCCCTCGAAACAGCCAGCCACATGGAATGATACCAACATTAGTACGTAGAGAATCGAATTTGTTGTTGTCTGAAACAGTGTCTGTCAAGAGAGCTTCTTTAATTTTCATAGTCTCAGACTGAAAAACTTTAGAAATAACCCGTAATCAATACCTGAAGAAACCATGACCTTTCCTTCTTTGATCGGCCAGGGGAGTAAACTGTTTTCTGAATATATCGGCACAGTCAAATGCATTGGAATTGGTTTTTAGAATGTTTGGTTCAATACGAACCCCTCTGTAGTGGCTTAGTTTAAGTAAACAGTAGACGTCGACAAGCGTAGTAATGACTGCCATTGTGAGGTTGTAAATCAGATCTTGATAAAGTGAAAGTGTGCGTCCGCATTCTTCATCACTGAACTTGAATTGGCGTATTTGTGCATCGAAGGTGAAGTTGCAACCTTCTGAAAAAGATAAATTGACATTGCGGGACCTGAGCTGGTTGGATTCCAGCTACTTCAGAGAAAGCTAATTCCATAACGAAAAAACAGGGTGGAGTGGGTGGCAGGGCAAAAAAGAAACGCTCTGTTCCCATGGAATTTCACAAGAGTTTATCTGAAAATGGATGGATCTTTGACAGTTCGCGCTGTTACATCTCTTGTCTCAGGCTACTGGGAGCGTCGTTGTAACTGTGGAAGACACGAGCTGTCTTCGAGCGACGTGGCTGTGGTTCTCGATTTACATCTTCGACCAGACGAGCCAGTAGAACATTAGGCATTCTGGGGTCTTGAGCACGTTGGCTCGAAGGGCACAGAAGATTCAGATTCATGGGCCGAGAATAGCATTTGGTGCACTTGTTCAGAGCGTGGTACTGCTCAGCACTCGAGAAAGTTTTACGGGTACTCTAGTAGTCTGTAAGCGGGTGATTCCTTTAGTGCCCCCTCAAAGTAGAGTGATCTTCCCAATAGTGAGCCGGATTTCAAAAGCACAAGTCCTTTAAATCCAATAAAACTTATCAAGTCACCTGAGCAGAGTCAATCTCCACTTGTTTTACATCATTATTTTTGAGCTATACCTATATTGTACCTAGAATCGAGTAACTCAGAGTTCGGGGCGCTTTTGACAAAGGCAAACAAAGTTCTCCAGATGGCACAGAAGGTGGTCCTGTTGCGCGGCGGATGGGTGGAATAGAGTCAAACCGCACAAAGATTCGTTTGTAATTTGCCGAGCACTGCGGTGTAAAGGTGGACGCCATGCTTTTTCCTGACTCTCCATGATGGATGGACCACTCATCTCGTCACCCTGTTGAAACTGCTCTTGATACGTAAGCTATGCGAGTTTAATTGTGCCTGGGCAATAATCCCTCCCAATGCAACTTGCTTGCATCCAACTGTTATGAAAACGACTAACCCTTCAAATGGATAGTATTATGAACCCATGCGATCACCCAGCACGCTGTGATCGAGACCATTGTCGTTTTGGTGTTGAACCATTTATTGTAATGACGAGGGAAGGTGACAACGATGAATCGATTGACAGTCATCGCTACCGACGTATAGATACTCGAATATTGCAGTGACAAGGCCAAGTAACCGACAATGTGTTCGTTGTCCTCATGTAGCCAACGACCACTGGAAAACACATGACATTGAACATATGATTATTTACTAAAATTACACTGGCAATGAGTTACTGGGACGCTGCGCTATCAGGGTTCCTGATAAGGATGTTGCTTCACTGAACAGGATATCTACCAAGATTATGCACGCATATCTGTGTTTGTATCTGTGTATATGCATGTTTGCTCTTAGCCGCGGAATCCTGCACATGTTAGTGGTTTCTCAGTATGTTTCTATTCATATAACGCAGCAATGCCTCGTTCAATTGATCGGGTCCTGATGCGAATTATGTATACGTTATCTTGCATGCTACGTCTTTTTCGCCGCACACTCTGTGGCTCGGGATTAACTATATGTACACACCCCAGAAACACGGTTGCTTGCGACAGGCATGACTGCAGGATCAGTTAACTTACAAAAATAGTTGTGATGCAGAAAATGCCATGACTGGGACTAGCATTGCAAGACCATCGGCTGTTAGTTTTGAAATTATCAAGTACTGGAATGGATTAAGACGATAACGGAATACCAACAGATGTGCCATGACGAACAGCAGCGGAACAAGGCCGAATATGCCGACCTGGAGCATTCAATTTTGAAATGATTGCTTAGAAAGCATTATGTAGGACATGGAATTTCCTTTGAATATTGATGTTCAGTTAACGTACTAGGATCATTGAAATCCCGCTCGCAATAGAGCCCATTGAAACATTCGCTATGTGAGAATGCACATGCGATTGTCAATGTATCTGAATCAATAATCATTACTTTGCTTAGGTAGCTATATTATCGTACAGTTTCACACAGGTGACGAGGCTCTATACTTCTTCGTAATCTAGCACTATGCTCCACTTCGAACCAAGTTGCAAATAACGACAAAATTGGGCGCAAGACCATAGCCATGCCTAAGCAGTGATTTAAGGCATCCCTTTCTCCTATGACGGTACTTCTGTTGCAGAACCATGCAACGCAGACAAATAGAGGACGGCAGCTGCAATGTGCAAAACAAGCACTGCAATTTGCAAAAACATATGGCGAACCAGGATACATGCTTTTTCAAGACAAGGCGGCTTCGAGGAGGGCGTGCCACTCACCAGTTATAAAAAGTTGGAATGTGTGGGTAACAATGACTATAGAATGTCGTACGGACGAGAGAGAGTACAGAGAAAATGGGAGGATTGACGCGCTCGAACGGATTGACTTCAAGTTGTCGGTAAACCGTCTCATAACATCTCATGACACGTCAATTGACATGATATGGGAGCAGGAGGTCCAGGAGGTATGCGACAAGAGAATCGTAATTTGCCGCGCCAGTGGCGTCGCGTGCGACGTCTCCGTTAATGACGACGATTTTAGGTAGTATTAGTCGCGAATAGACAATATATGACCAAAAATAGATATAATTGCGTACCGCTTCCTTGCCTACATGAAATCCCATCAGCAACTGAAAGGATAGTGTAAGTTAAGGAAAGTGGCAATTTACGACCCTTCTCCCGGTCCAGGGTATGTGAAGCACGCGAATTTTTTTCTGCATAAAGGTGCCGCCATACTGGAGCTCTTCTCTCTGAATATGGGCAAAATCTTCCATACCCTCAGAATTGAATGCCCTCTAAAATGCAAAAGTCGAAGAAATAGCGCCAAAGGAGTGCACGTTGTGTGGGTCCCATTTCCTCGTCATTGAAAGGTTATAGTACGCCAGTAGTTGTAGTGGCATGCCATGTACAGTATTGCAGCGCGACAATAGGGGAGTAATGCCGAAAATGCTTTATAACATAGTCCTCACCCCCTCTAGCTACGCCCATTTTCTAACAACTGACGAAGATTTCCCCTATAAGTCATTATGTTCACCTAGTATTCGAGTGCTACTACAATTCTGGGAGGAAGTTGGGCGTGTCATATAGAGAGAAAGATCAACAGCGAGTGCATTACAATGAGTCAGAAAAGAAGTCGAAGAGTATCTTTGAGGAAACCGTCTACGTTCAAGCCTTTTCCAAGAAGATTCAAAACTGGCCTAAACAAAACGAAAAAGCATGGCAAAAATAAAAATGATTGGAAAACTGAGTTTTCATTCTTTATTTATTGCAGGGAAGGAGAGAACGGTGACGAATTCTGTGCGAGGTGATTGCCGTGTCTGAAATAACTTGTCGAAAAGCAATCATTTGCGCTAACTCCTTATATAAGCTCGCCGTAAAGAATAAATCATCTCACGCATGGCTGTTCGTGTTCTGATTCATGATACACCTGCTATACTAATAAGCATAAAGCTGATTACCGTAGAACTGTTGGTGGACGTACATGTAGGTCATGCTTTTGCTAGAGATTCCATTTCGATGGATTGGAACCTAATCAACCATTTACTTCGATGATACGCTAAGTTTCACTGAGTGTGAGAACACTAGTGTGTGAATCACTCGATCCCTTCGTTTTCTATTACGGTAGGTCCTTTTCGCACTTCAGATGCTTCTACGACGCTAAATGGAACACACGTTCGCTGCGAATTCCAAAAGAGCAATGCTCACTCTCCTCTATGGAAGTGTCTCTGCCAGAATCATTCTCCTAATAAAGAACAATATCTAATAAGTTAAATTATTATGATAACTTTTTTGAATTTTTCTGGTGCTTCACGTAATATTTTTTTTATTAAGAAATGCCTGTTGCTCCTGCTTTTTTAAAGCTCAGTTCGCGTTGCGAAAGTTATAACAAGAAAGCTGCAGTAAAAGCTAATCTCTTGACCCCAGGTGAAATTTGAACCTCTCGCTTTCAGGACAAGTGGGCTACCCGGTACACTCACTTAGGAAGCATCAAGCCAGCATAATGTTCATCTCGATGTTTTCTAACTTAACGCAGACGATATGACGAATCAGAAAGAATTACACCCGGTCCGCTACAAATCGCATCGATTCAACTTGATCTTTTGTCTAGTGCAACAAAGCTGTTTCATAACAAAGGGTAAAGATTAAGTGCTGCGTCATGAACTCAGGTATTCGTCTCGTAGTCGAGATTGCAAATATATGTTTTCGGGACCATTCAGCTATTACTACCCCAAACTTCCGAAAACAGGCCAATTTTTTACCGGCTTTTTATTTTCTAAGGGGGCAGATTCGGCTGTAAATTTGGTTACAGGGGTAGATCCAATTCCTTAAATTGAGTGGGTCATTTGACATCCCGAATACGAATATGGCATTCATTCTTGGCGCTGGAGCTAATGGAGGACATCACCATCATGTGCGCTCTGCTAAGGCCGGACTTAAAGGCAGTTGGCACGATGGTTTCCTACTTACCAGGGAAAGGTCAACAGGTCGCCATGGCCATTCAAGATGAGATGCATATCGACGTGTACGTCTCGGGACGCTGAACTCAAATCTGCTTCCAAAATTTGCCGAACGATTCTCTATGAGGAGTTAGGGGTAGGGGGTCGTTCTAGCATAGCACCCGCGCCGACATCCCTCGCTTTGCATTGCTCGGCAAGGCTAAGTTCGAGGTACATACAGGCCTGAAGTGGGTCATGATCGGTCTATGACTAGGCAAGTTGCTTCACTAGCTGGGCCAGGTCAGCGCGGCGTGCGATTCAATGGCAGATTGCCATTTTTCGGAACATCTTCTGCGAGTTCACAAAATACTTTCATCCATTATTTTGTCAAGCTTGCTCTTACTTGCAAGAGGAAAAGGTTTTAATGCCGGCAACTGTGCTTCTCTTCCAAGACTTTAGGCAGTGTTTACCCTTTACTGCCCAAATGAAACAAAATCAGGCCGGTTTTTGACCGACATTTTTCTTCGTCAGCAGAATTGGCTGAAAAGTTGCCTACTAGAGTAGTCTGCCCTTCTGAACATGATTATCACATCCAGCTTTGGCACGAGCCCTCTTAGAACCAAAG